TCATACGTCGATTTCATTATTTAATCTTATGAAATTTTTTCATGAAATTGTTTAATCTTGTGAAATTGTTTCATATAATACTTTTTTTGATGAATTTTTTTCATATATAGTTATAAAATTGTTTCATATAATATTTAATGAAATTTTAATGAAATTGTTTTATGTATTTCTCTAAAATTAAAATAATGAAGATGATAATATCCATGATTAACACCCTCCACAATAAAAATGATTAATCAACCTCTCATAATTACAAAAAACTGAACAAAATGAAAAATTATGATTGGTTGAATGAGGTTTTCATGGGTTTTACAAATTGAGTGGTTTTTATTTGAACGCTCCCCAACTGAAGTATATATATATATATATATATTACATTAACGTATTTGATAAAAAAATATATAAAATACAATTTATTAATTCTTACAATATAAGTTTACAACTTGTTTTTACATATGTATAGCTTTTTAAAACTTCACATAAATCAATCGATACACAATCAAATGCATGATAAGTTTTGAGCAATACTAATACGACATAACAATAACCTATAAGTTTTGGACTTTACTTTATTGAGAAATTACATTGAGTTTTTTACATCTTCTTGTATTAAATAGGTACACAATCAGTGCGTACTGTGTACCGAAACATAATCAAATGACGGTTGAAGAACCATGAAATCATTGATTATAAAAATGCTATAGTTCAGTAAATGTTAAATTTATGATATAATAATTAAGCATTTTCTTTTGTATATATAAACATGATATCAATAGTGAATCACATGTTTTGGTGTTTGTGGTTTACTTATATGAATGTGAGCATGTGTGATTTGTATTTATTATGGATTTGCTTCCTCATATGAAGTGTAATTTAGACATTTTAGTTATCCTATAAATATTATATACTTTAAAAAAAGATGAATATGAATAGGATGACGAATAATTAGGTTGTTTTCTTGTTTTTTATTTAGATTTAGAGTTTTGTATCATAAGTTTTTTAAACGATTTTTATACAAATTCATCGTTTACTTTCTTGATAATTAATGACTGAAAAACCCCAAGAAAACTTTAGAGAATGACGATAAGGAAGGCAACCCCTGAGTAAAAGTACTAATCTGTCTATCTAATTGCTACCTAACTTAAAGACTCGTATTTAATGGGAGAAATAGTACTATATATATATATATATATATATATATATGAGAAAGGTACTCGTGCAATGCAACGAAATATATATCGATGTTAATGTTTCGTTTTATTCTTATCTCTATCGATGTCAGAATACGATTTTATGTGGTTTTTAAGAAAAAAATAATGTTTTATTTTTTAATAAAATATAAATTTTAAAAAAATAACATAAATATAACTTTTGGTTTACTAATATAATTTTTTAAGTTTAATAACAAAGCAATTTATTTTTGGTATAATAATATAATTTTTTTTATAAAGATAATCAATAAGTATATCTGTTAGAACTCAATGATTATTCTAATTACATTTAAATTTTTTATAATTAAAATGAGATGTTTATCATATATTTAATCATGTTTATCTACAGTTAGTTATACGTATTCAAACATAAAGCTTTAATAAATTGTAGTACATACAATTTACTTGTAATCTTGAATTTTAAATAATATGTATCAATAAACAGTACTTTATGCATAAAAAATGGTTTTTAAGAATTTTTGTCAAATGTTTTATAATATAATGTGTGTATATGTATATATATATATATATATGTATGTATATGTATATAGTTTAGGTTTAAATGAGGATAAGAGTTATGGTGGAAATGGTGATAATGCTTCTTAATTGTTAGAGGAGTCGTAACATACCTTCAATTGACTGATGACTAGAAATACGGACCATCAACTACCTTCAACAATTTTCATGAACCTTAATCTTCAACTTTTACTCACCTAATGAATATTTATATACCTTAAATCATTTTTACATACAAGATTTGTTAACGTTCCACTCTTGATGATAGACAAACGCTTATCCTGATAAGTGTTTACTAAGTCACGTTACTTTACCACATGAATATGATAAAAACCAAAAATCTTACTCAGTAAGAACGAGGCAAAGACCAAAAGTCTTACCGGGTAAGTAAGTGCGACAACTCTTACTATAGTTAGCGATTACCGGGTAAATTGTTGCATATAATACCGTTTTAGTAGACTAAAATCATACCCGGTAAGTAAGTGATGGTGTTGAATTTTACTGATAAACCTTTATTGGATAAGTGTTTAATAAACAGTCCCTAAGTCTATAACAATAACAATAAAATAAGTCATGTTGTATTTGTATTATGGATGTGTCCCAATCGGGTTAGGTAATGTGGGAGCCTTTTGAATTCAAACTTTAAGAATATGTATTATTGTTTCTATTTACCTTATGATAGCTTTATATTCATTAAACAATTATATATAGGGGACCATTCACTTTTATTTATAAACCCATAAAATTATAATAGTATTAATAACGAGTGGATCATATGTTATTTCGTAAATATTTTTTTATCTAGGACTATGATTTAAAATATTGATTAACATATATTTGTTTCACAATGTGTTTGTTTTACGTATATTGTGAACCGAATATATGAAATAAAAACATTGTGAAACACATATATGTTAATCAATAGATTAAGTATTGTACTTGGGTGAAAAAAGATCATGTGAACAAAACCTTAGGATAAAAGTTTTCACGGATCTCATAAGTCAGAAATTTTGGAGTTCTGAAATGATAAAGCGTGTGCACACACAT